CCCCCCCCCCCCTCATGACGGCCACCGAGTTGGACCGGATGCACAGAATAGCATCCACGCTTGACCGTCCCTCCCGGAAGCCGTATTGCTCAGTGTTGAACGTGGGACTACTCCGGGATAGGTGCCCGACGAGGTGGGCGTGTATTACACAGCCACACAAAAAAAATTTTTTTTTTGGCCCCGGGGTCTGACTATGTTTACTGTATGTTTTTGGGGTCCCTGAATCCGAATCCAAGGTCAGATTGACCCCATCACGTCAGGATTTTGCCATAACCTCAAAAAACCCTATAATCAACGCTGTTTAGCCCTGTGACGTTGTTACTCATGCTTTAAACTAAAAAACCAATCTGTTAATCCACATAAACCCATAACCCTACAACCCCATAACTCCATAACCATCAACCCTATAATCCCGTAACCCCATAACTCCATAACCCCGATATTAAAGAAAATAAATCAGCATAGTCAATCTGCATTATATCAATGTTACAAAACAAGAACCCATAACCCTATAATTCCATAACTCCATAACCCCGTAACCCCAAAACCCCGTAACCCCATAACTACTAACCCTATAATCCCGTAACCCCATAACCATGTTACTAAAATCGTCATACTCAATCTCTCACAGCAAAACAACTATCGTGGCATGGATTCCACAAAACTAAAGCTGTTAAACCCTATAACCTCATAACCCGATAAATTCTAATTAAAAATATCATAACCCTAAAGTATCGGACTCAATTGTAAATCTATTTAATATTTGTAAAACTGTTAGCATCAATGTTATTATGTAGGTTGCGTGAACGGATTTCGTACATCATATAGCTCTTATGAAGGCTGTTTTTGAGAAGAGCAAATAAACGTATATATAAATAACAATAAATAAATCTACAAATAAATAAATAACATCAATAAAGCTAATGGTAGTCCCTTTTTTTTAACTGTTTAGAGTTTTTTTGCAAGGGCTGTTTTGAAAATGAGCTTATAAATATGTATGTATAAATAAAAATAAATAAATAT